GAAACTTTGAAGAAAACTCAGGCAGAAATGAAGAAGGAAGTGCAAAACTCAATAAGCCAACTTGAAACAGGGGAAAGCCTCACCTCTAGAATGAATGAAATGGAAAACAGAATATCAACACTGGAGGATAAAGTGGAAAAATTGGACCCACTCAACCAAAGAGTATGGAAAATTTAAAAAAACACAGGAATGGGATATTCAAGAGATGTGGGACACCATGAAAAGACCAAATCTACGGATCATAGGAATAGAGGAAGGAGAAGAATTTCAGGTTAATGGTGTTGACCAGATCTTAAACAGGACTGTAGAAGAGAATTTCCCAAAAATCAAGGCAAGACACCCCCATACAAATACAGGAAGCACATAGAAGACCAAATAGACAGGATCAGAAAAGAAACTCCCCCACAACATATCATAGTAAAAACACTAAATGTACAGAACAAAGAGAGAATACTGAAAGCAGCAAAAGAAAAACAAGAAGTCACACACAAAGGAAAGCCCATCAGAATTACAGCTGACTTATCAATGCAAACTATGAAAGCCAGAAGAGCCTGGACCAAGGTATTTCCAGTTCTACATGACAATAGATGCCAGCCCAGCACACTATACTGAGCAAAAATCTCTATTATAGTTGAGGGGGGAAGAAAAATCATCCATGGCACAAATAGTATGAAAGAATACATGTCCACAAAACCAGCCCTTCAACAAATACTTGAAGCAATACAGAGAGCAGAGAGAGAAACAACTATACTTTGGGGCAACAAAAGAAAATAAAGATATAATCTAGGTAACACAAAATTACATGGAGAACACAAACAGCAATCAAAATGATGGCAACCAATACACACCTTTCAATAATAACCTTAAATATCAATGGACTAAACACCCCTGTCAAAAGACACAGGGTAAGTGGCTTAAGACACAAAATCCATCTCTTTGCTGTCTGCAAGAAACCCATCTCACCTACCCATCTCACCTTCAAGGACAGGCCCTATCTTATGGTGAAAGGATGGAAAAGAATATTCCAAACTAATAGCACTAAGAAACAAGCAGAGATTGCAATTCTAATATCTGACAAAATAGACTTCAAAGAAAAACTAATCAGAAGTGATAAGGAGGATCACTTCATTCTGATCAAAGGAACAATTAACCAAGAAGATACTATAACCTTTTACATGTATGCATCAAATTCTGGTGCACCTAGATTCGTAGGGGACTTCAATACCCCACTGTCTCCATTAGACAGGTCAATTGGACAAAGAATAAACAGAGAAACGTCTGAATAAATGATACCATATATCAAATGGACCTAACAGGTATCTTTTGATTACTCCACCCAAACACCAAAGAATACACTTTCTACTCAGCACATCATGGAAGTTTCTCAAAAATTGACCACATACTGGCCACAAAACAAACCTCAACAAATACAAAAATATTGAAATAATTCCAGGAATTCTATCAGACCACAAAGCAATAAAGCTCAAAATCAACACTGGACAAAGCTCTGGTCACTACATGAACTCACGGCAATTGAACAACACACTGTGAAACGAGTGGGTCAAAGAAGAAATTAAGAAAGAAATAAAAGAATTCCTGGAACTGGCCACAAAACAAACCTCAACAAATACAAAAATATTGAAATAATTCCAGGAATTCTATCAGACCACAAAGCAATAAAGCTCAAAATCAACACTGGACAAAGCTCTGGTCACTACATGAACTCACGGCAATTGAACAACACACTGTGAAACGAGTGGGTCAAAGAAGAAATTAAGAAAGAAATAAAAGAATTCCTGGAATTCAACGAATAGGACAATACAACACAACACAACCTCTGGGACACATTAAAAGCAGTCCTAAGAGGGAAATTTATAGCTCTAAGTGCCTACATTAAAAAATTAGGAGCCCAAATAAATGACCTAACACTGCAAC